TACGCCGAATACTCTTAAACTCATATAGGGAAATAAATAAACATGTTCTCGTATGGGTGTAGGTACATACAGAGAGGGTGATTTTGTTTTTCTTTTCGGCACTGTGCTATTAAAAGAATGCATCATTTTAAACAAAACAACCCGGAATGTGTTTTACGATATTATTCGGGAGTTCACACACAAACAACAAACTTAACAGTCAAGGCGTGCCAGTTCTTGGGCTTAGAATATTACCTAACATGGTATTTGTTCCATATTTGGTATTACTCCGTGTATACAAATACGCAAATCTAATGTGGTGGTGAAGTTAGGGATGAGTAATCGCTCGCACGGCGCCATCTGGTGTGATCAAGAGTGACAAGCGGAAATGGATCAGCGCCTGTCTGACTGTCAAAGCACGTGATGACAAGCAGACCAATACAGACTAGAAGGTAAGTGACCCTGCCAAACAAGAAATTGACCACAGCTGTCTTGTCAAGTTCGTTTGTAAACTCGTTTACCTTTCAAAGTCGGCACCTTCCAATTTCTTTCAAATCAGGTTACAAAAGCCAGTTTTTAATCTTATTTACTTAAGGAATAAATAAATAAATAATAACATAATTCGTCATCCTATTTAGGGGTAAATTGCATTTTAATGTTTAAAAATAAATGTTAATCCAAATAAACTATACTCCATCATAACTTCAAGGGGATGGAGTATAAGAAGCACAAAGTAGGCAGCATTAACCTACATTAAAGTAAGTTATTGCTTTTTTATGCACCCATTGGTTGGGGGTCCTCAGTTGCGGATCTAGGATTTTAGGAAAAGCCTAATATCCAAGAAGGGCTGTGGGTCTGGGGTCGAGGTTAAAGCGAAGTTCCCTTATCAGAGGCTTGTAGCTTTTAAGCAGTAGAAGCATAATTTTTATGTTTTTCTTATATTTTGTTTTAGTATTACATTTGATAGGTGTAGTTTGAGAACTGATCACCAGGTCATGAAGGGTAGAGGGGTTTCTAAATCCGTCTGTAGCCCTTAGTGAAGATGTCTAAGGTCATCGATTTTGTTGATCTCAAGAAAAACTTTGTTATAAGAATTTGAAAGAATGTTTGTTTTTAGACCATTCTTGTAGGATGTTATAACCGTCTGTGTTTAGACGTAGTTTTCTGCAAAGCTATTTTAGGTTCTTTTAATGTCTGAGTGTTTACTCTGCCGCGGCAAAAAAACGTGTGAACTTTATACAGTGATCTGACCTTTTAATACTACTAAAACATGTTGATACGAGACAAGGTTACGCAGTTGTAAAACGAGAAGTTAGTCTTATGTAAAGACAAAGAAAAAAAAGCGCAAGAACTGAATTACTTTTTTACGAATTGGTGTATCAGTCATTAGTGTTATTCAAACGAATGACATTGGGAGCCTTATATCCATTGATTGTCATGGGGAAAATATACAACTTACCAGTTTGTATAACTGTTAACTAATCTGTTAATAAAAATATTGATCCATGAATTTTGTTTCTTCCCCATGTTTATGAAGCTGGGTGTAAAATATTTATGACACCGAAAAGGCCGGCACTTTTAGATGTCATGGACACTTGCAAGGGAGTATTTTTTGTGTGTGCTGCGGCTCCCTGACGCCATATCGCGGCTCTCCAGTTTCCCAGCCCCTTGTTTGGGAACTCCCGATCTACACATTTAAAACACTGGTTTGTTTATTTGTAATTAAGCACAAAGCTACACAATGGGCTATCTGTGGTCTGCCTACCAAGGGAATCGAACCCCGGATTCTAGCGTTGCAAGTCCGCAGACATATCGCTGTGTCACTGGGGGGCATAAGATACTGGACAAATATTATATACTATACGACTGTCAATTGTATTCAATACGACATAAAAACAATATTTTGTTTGTTTAATAAGACTAAACTTGCTCGTTCGCCAGTTGTTGTGAATGACAGTAAAAGTAATAGAAATAACAATCTAGTCAAATAAGTAATTGGTGGTAGGTTAAATAATAATGTTGTTACTAATTCTTACTGTAAAACTCTGGTTAATAAATGACTTAAACAAAAGTGATAATTACAATTCATTTTGCTTAATCTGGTTTACACTATAACAGTCGTTGGTCACGATATTTATTTCACTCATGGGTTCTTAAAATCGCCGGTATCCGTTAGTTTGAACTAAATAACATTAAATAAACCTCCATAGATACGCAAGCTGAACGAATAATGAAGTGTTAAAACTAGTTCAGTCCTTTGTATAAATACAAAAGAGTTACACTACAATATAACTACGTGTTGCTAACGTTTCTTTAACATTTTTTGTCACACTTGATCATTTATAGAAGACACAATAATCACGTATCTTTTAACTATCGAATACTCAAACCAATTCTATTCTATAAACGCAAATAGTTGTATCATTTTCTGCTCTAAGTAACATGCATTGTTATTACGCTTGAATCTGTGCTTACAATTTTTATATCCCCTTCCACCCACGGGTGGCAATAGTTCTCAGTGTTACGCCTGCGCTTATGAAAATCACAAGATAAGGGGGTAGTTTTGGACACCAAATAGCAGACAACGAATATTTGAACAAGTGGTTTTTCAACCGAATTCACAAGTTAAAAAAAAAAATTATAATAAAACGATATGGGCGGTCTTTCTTTGGTACCATTGAATATATGAAAAAAATACAGTTATTAATGACAAAGAAAATATTCTGGTTGTGTCTTCTAGGAAAACGCACCGCTTCTCATAAGGGGTCGTCCGCACTAATATGACATTAAATACATTACAGCTTATGAATTTTTTTTTTTATTACTATTATGTAACATACAGTATAAATATTAACGTAATATATATATACAGCTAACAACAGTTATTTTAGAACAAAAATTAAAGACAAGAAAATTTTACGGCAAGTTTTTAGTGGTGGAAAATTCGCGAAATTCCAAAACTGCCAAAAGAAATGATCTTTTTTAATGGTTAAAAGATCGTGGATTTAAAAAGAATGACATATTTTGTTAACCCAGAATTTCAAGGATGGCGGTGGGAGTGAGGTTATAATGCGTACCAAGCATGATACCACTTGATTTGTAGAGAACCACTGCCGGGCCTCAGCGATATTCATTTATATCTGGGCGAACATAAATTGAAGCCCCAAGCAACAAAACAAGTTACCTTACAAATACCATCATACACATGCTAACCTACGTTCTACTTTATTGCTGACTAGTTTCGTCAGTCTATCGAAGTGCACACCTGACTATATGATTCATGCAAAGGGGTACACCTGCGTTGTCATGGAAACAGCGCAACTGGAGCGCGTAATTCCTTTATATTTTATACTTATATAATAAAGACATTTTTTCAACAACTTTCTGAATAATTATGAATAATATATTTTTTGCACTCATTTTTTTTATTCTTAAGTTTTAAACTCCTCTAGACGCTAATTATTCCCCAAAACAGTATAAAGTTACAAAAGGACGAACTGTGTATAGTAATTATACCCAGCGTGCAATGTTGGTAGCAGACGAACTAAGCCTATATACGTCATAGACATAACGTGGCCTAGAAATAGTACATAAAAACAGGCAGGTGTGTCACAAACAGCGGTGACCTAATCTGATCCTTAGTCACAGTCCAAAGAACCAGCCCCCCCCCCCCACACAAAACTAACCTAAATCCAAATAGAAGCATCGTAAAAAAGAAAAGAAGTATGGGGTTATACTGTTACATAGAAAAAATACTGTGAAAACTTGTGATGCTTAGAACTTTATATGAACAATAACAATATCCGATATGTCAATTATTTAAAACTGATGAAGCTTATTCATAATTCAAGTAATAAATTAATTTTTGAAGTTAGAGTGAACCATGTAAAATCTGTTTATTAAGTTTAAACATTAGTTTGTAATCACTAACTTCATACACAGGTGAATCGACTTACTTACACGTAAAATGATGGTACGATACAGAATTTTCATCATTCCTTTACGAGTAGTTCGTTTTATACTGTAGTATCAACTCTCTGCCAGTTGTTATTCGTTGGATGCATTCTTCCCTATTGACTAACACGGTAACCCAATTCAGTTGGGTTACCTAGATTTATTTAAACAGACGGCCTCAATTATTTAATGTTACACAATGATAAGCACTCGCTTACTGGCTTTTTCAAAACGTATATCAAACTAGCTGAAGTGCAATATACAAAATGTGTAACCGCAAATTTGTATGTATCTCCGCATGGACCCAACAAACGTTCATGCCAATTTTGGTGAAGATCCATCTATATCCTGCGAATTAGTTGCATGGACATACAACAGACAGTACTATTATATTTATATAGGTAAGTCAATGTAATCTGACTAAATGATTTAACAAATTAAGATTAAAATGAGTATGTTTATAAATACACCGAAGTTTATCATAATAAACACTTGGGGTATAAAAGTAAGGCCTAATAACGGTGATACATCGTCATCTAATGGTTCAGGCCTGGTAACAATTCTTAAAACCTGAGAGAAGATGGTCGTCAAATATTTTATTACCAAATATAAATATTTCTTGCTGCGTAGACAACAATGAAACGCTGTCCAAGCTGATATACGGCCAAAAAATAACCGTCACTGCGAATTTATTTTTAATCGCTTGTCGAAAAAACGAAACAAAACTAATGATCAAAAGATAAAATTACAAAATAACGTTATCAGTGAACCAACTTAAAATCGAGATTTGTAACTGTCCTTCGAATGGTTCAGATACTAATAACAACGTCGTATGTGCATTGATAGTGCATTAATATAAATTCTTCAAAAACAGGCATTTAATCACGTAATTATTAGGCCTCTGTAAACATTTACTATTCTGTAGTTTCAACTATCCATATCACTTTACAAACACCCAAAGAACTATAATGAAACCAGTACAACTATAACTAATATATAACAACAGACTAAAGTAACTGTTAAATGAGTATTTCACAGAAATTATACGTGTCACACGTATTACTTACCCAAACTAGATTCGATAGCAGGATACTAAACAATGTTCACGAGGTTGTAATATGTGGTTGATAAAAAAGAATCGAATCTCTTTTTCTGAATAAACGTCCGTCATATACGACTAGCCTAACCAGCCACTGCTGTCGAATGGGTTCGACTGACTGCAGGAACGACCTCTGCGTACAACGCCGAAAAAATACTCGATAGCAGATCAATCACGTTGCTAGCGGCAACGAAGAGGCTGTTGGTCCAGAAGTGCTCGTGTGTCTGGCGTCTGTACAGCTAGCACGTGACATATCTTCGTCTACCCTGTTTGTTTCATTGATATGGTGGTGGTTTATATGAACTCTAAAAACATTTAAGTCTTTGCAAAAATGAAGATATTATCAAACCACAACCGATTTGAGTAAAAAATCGTAGAGAAATGGTATGTGATAGCGTTTTGTGGTTATACTGCGTGAATATCCAATCTTATTTACCTTTACAAAAGATCAGTACACATTTTCTCATTGGATTAATTTATAAACATCGAAACTTACAACAAGTATCACATTCATTCAGTTTAAAAGCACTGAAGCGAACCTGCAGACACAAAACTCCGATTAATTCGTATTGTCTAGTACAGTTGACGTCACAGCACCTAGCGAGGCAATCTGACAATAATAAACTCACTGCAGTCTGCAACTCGTACTGACAAAAGTTCGTTTTCTGAATAAAGCTAATGACCAGTGTTACGACTTCTAAAATTCCTGAGCGTCGTTAAAGTTGACAGCAGTCATCTCGTTCATCATCGTTAGCTCGTACATCTAGAATTAACGAACCCAGGTCATAAATGTCATATCATTCACTAAAGTATACAACTAACTGTTCAAAACATAACTACATTTGATTTTCAGAATTCCTTGGGTTATTACCGAAATGTGATACATGGTTCAAAATGCAGACTAGAACCTCTTGAGCATAGATGTAGTTCTCACAATTCTGACATTAAGAATTATTATTTTATACATACTTTTTCTTAGGATAAACCCGTTGCCAACTGTTCTTCAGACTATTCCCTGTTCCACGAAAAAATATAAAAAAGTTATTCGTACGTGTCCGTACTCCGACTTCCCTGGGTTATTGTTATTGTTTGTTGAGTGTAAGACTAGAGGGAAGGCAGCTAGTCATCACCACCCACCGCCAACTCTTGGGCTACTCTTTTACCAACTAATAGTGGGATTTACCGTCACATTATAACACCCCTATGGATGAAATGGCGAGCATGTTTAGTGGGATGGGGAGTCGAACCGGTGACCCCTCAGATTGAGAGTCTAGCGTCCTAACCACCTGACCATGATGGGCCGACTCTAATTGTGAAGTGATGAGTAGATAAAAAGGAAGTCATCTAGTCTACACCACCTACAGGTAACTCGTGGGCTTCTCTGATCGAATAGTAGGTTCCGATCTTCACCATGATGGGCCGACTCTAATTGTGAAGTGATGAGCTAGATAAAAAGGAAGCCATCTAGTCTACACCACCTACAGGTAACTCGTGGGCTTCTCTGATCGAATAGTAGGTTCCGATCTTCACCATGATGGGCCGACTTTAATTGTGAAGTGATGAGCTAGATAAAAAGGAAGCCATCTAGTCTAAACCACCTACAGGTAACTCGTGGGCTTCTCTGATCGAATAGTAGGTTCCGATCTTCACCATGATGGGCCGACTCTAATTGTGAAGTGATGAGCTAGATAAAAGGAAGTCCATCTAGTCTACACCACCTACAGGTAACTCGTGGGCTTCTCTGATCGAATAGTAGGTT